TGTATTCATGGAAGTGAGAGGAGCAAAACAGGGTGGTTCGGAACTGGGCTGTAGCTTGAGCAGAACTGTAACTAAGCAGGTTTAAAACAAACAAAGTCTGGGAGGAACTCAAGATAGGCGGTTATTTGCATATCAAGAGCCAATTTCTGATAAAAACAATACTTCAGGAAAAGGCTTTTTCTGTTGAAAACCAGTATGATGTGTACTTGCATTTAACTTAACAGATACCGGAGTACAAGAAAATCCAGCTTTTCCAGAGTAAATGGCCACACGGCTCATATTAAGCCATTTTTGTCTTAAACTATCAAGCAAAAAGTGCATTTAAAAAGTCTGATGGAAGTTGGTTTAGAAAGGAGTTTAACTTTTAATTAAGTGTAAGGAAAAAAATCATCATTCATCAATCCAAGCACTCACTCTTCAAATGCTGAGGGATCAGGGTACTGAGTAACAAGAGGCATTGCTCCTAAAAAGCAGTATGAAAGAGAAACGATGCAATCTTGCGCAGGGCATGGAGGGGCAAAGATCAGAAAATATGGAATAGGAGAGCTCATAAATACTCTTGAGGAGCTGGCTGAAACTCCTAAAGCTCTGTAGAGGGCTAAACCACGCAACTGAAGCTCACAGGAGGGAAGAGAGCCACCAGGAACCAGAAGAGAGGAGCTCACAGGGTAATCGCCCACTGCCTGTGCTTGCACATGGACTTGAACACTTGGGTTGAGGAGCACTCACAGGTCCTGCTCTGGGTGATGATGAGGTGCTGGGCTGGAAGAAACAGGTACAGACAAGGAAAGGCTGGAGAGAGAGGCAAGGCCAAGAGGACAACAAAGACATCATCAAAATTGACTGCGAATCAGTTAATTCTATTTGTACTGAAAACGTTTAAAATTCATCCTACCAGGGCTACTTTCCACCTAAGTGCATTAGCAAAGACAAGGATGACACGGAATCAAATCAAGGACACACTATCCAAGCTCTGCTTTTCTTCTGAGGAGCTGAAAATAATCCTTAACTGCATGAAGGTTTCAACTCAAGATCTTGGAGATCAGATCGATGCCCTTTGGAATCAGATGATGTTACACTGATTTTACTTACGGATAACTAAAACCTGCATCACAAGCCTGTGATAGGGGAGCAGGAATAGGAACGGGACTGAAAAATGACTCCAGGTCTTCTGCTCTAACCCAAACAAACTTTCACAGAGCAAATGCATCTTGTTATTATGCTTTGCATTATTAGATTTTCTCTAAAGAACAGAGAGAAGAACGCCACTGAAGCCTAGAGGAAATAAATTACTGTCTACTGTCATAAGACAAGTTTAACATGCACCTGGGATCTTGAATGAAGCTGTTTTCCTTCAGGAAAAAAACATTTGAGAAGCTTAGATGTTAATTCAGAAACCCTTATTTTCTATAAAAAGCACATTATCTCAAAAAGCATCCCCTTTTAAATATTCTCTGTAGATCCATTATCCAATCACTCCCTATTTTCCCCATCAGGCCCTCCTGCTACACAAACAGGGTAGCTGTGTATGCAGTCTGGGCTTGGAAAATTGTTAGGCTGTGCATAAAATTTCTATTACAGAAGAACCATATACATCTGAATCGTTAAGTTTCGAGCTCTCCTTCCAATGACTTCATAATGCAGCTACGGTTAAGAATCTAATACCACAAAGTGCATTACAGATAATTTAACAGACACTGAGAAAGTTATGATCAGAATTCCAAAGATGATCAGCACCTTGCTGAGATACATCTGAATTATTCACATGTTCTGCTTTAAAATACTGCACTGGTATCAGAAGAATTGAGTGTAAACTGAATGCCTCTTGTCCTGGTGAATACAACCAGCCTTGGAAGCAGACCTTCACCAGTCTGATGCAAAGATCCTTCACCTTGCTTCATTTTACTCCAGAGTCACAGTGGTTTGACAGCTGGGACTGCTTTGATTGCTGTTTGTCACAATCCTCGCTACGTATCATACTCACTATGCTTGCTTTAAGCTGCCTGCATCTATCTATCTGATCTTAAGGTCCTTTCCAACCTAACTATTCCATGATTCATCTCATCTCCCAAAGTCAAGCATTCCAGAAGGTGTACGGTCTCTGGGGCAGAGACCATTCTGATGTGCCATTCTGCCCCTGCCACTGGTACCTCCAGGCAAAACTGACAGAGGAACAACCATCGTCTCCCAGCAAAGGAGCTCCCAGCAAAGGTGACCTCTCCTGGACACGTTTCCAAGTATCAGCATAGCTTTGAGCAACACTGTTGACCTCTACAAGAAGCTGTTGGAAGGGCTGAAAGGTTCATACACAACGCTCACAGCTCTCCCAGCTTATCCTCCTTCTAGTAGCTCTTTAGGCAGGAAAATAGATGGCACTGATTACTGAAGTCTACTCTGTCCCTTTTGCTTTTGGAAGCCAAAAGCAACAGAGTCTCTGGGAGATGTGTGCACGATGCAACCCAGTGTAGACATCCCTTCCACCCAGGGAGCATCTTCCAGAGCCCCTAAAGCTGCTGCTGCAGGTCACTCCACAGCCACGCAAGTCAGCCTCCTCAGGTCAAGGCTAAACTTCAGCAGTACTTTCCCCCTTGGATACCTTGACCAAAGCTTACCTGTCTGATTAGTCATACAAAACATGACTTCATTTTGCTCTGATTGAATCGAGGTACCATTACACCACCACGCTCAGAACAGCTCTAATTACAACTGAGTCAAGAGCCCATTTTCAGACTATTGTCCCATACCAGTTTAAAGGCAACTAATGAAAAACGTTCTGGGACAAGTATCTCCAGAAATGTAAGAAACTGTTAATTTAAGCACTGAGAAAGCAAATGATAAATCAGATGTTCACTGCTCTGTGGCAAGAAACTGTTCTAGGTTCAAAACAGTACCATAAATACCTGACATTTTCAAGCTAGAAGTTATGAAGTTGCACATTTAGAAATCTGACATCAGTTACTTTGCTATATGTATATGTATTATTATAAGCACCCGTCAGAGACGGATCTGTGGTACAAAGCTCAGATCAAACCAAATGGAACAAACTCAGACATAGCTCAGCTCATCATCAGTGTGTTTAATCCTTTGCACAGCCCTCTTCAGCATTGCAGAACACCATGAAATGCTCAGTTTAAAAGTTTATGGGGGGTTGAGGGAGCTTTGGGGGGCTTTGTGGGTTTTGCAAAAGGGGACTACAGGTGCTTTTGGGGTTTTAAAGATAAAGAACTTTTAGCTATGATTGGAATGCAAACCCAGTTACACCAATTTTCATCAGCCATTAAAAAAAGAAAACCCAAACCTCCCCATCCCCAGTATTTATACCATTATATCTATGAATACTAAATGGGTGACTAAATGGCTTGACTGGCATGGCAGCAATCCACTGGCTACCATCCCCAGAGCTGACAAAGGGGGACAAAAACCTTCACCATATTTTACATCATTACTTTACCAAAGCCCCATTTGAGCATAGGGTAGGGTTTTTTTTTGTGGTTTTTCACTGGCCCCAAACCCTAGGGAAGGAGCAAGCTCAGCTGAAGCACCAACGTGACTAAGCATTCCCATTTTTTTAAGCAATGACACTTTCAGACCTCCTTAATAAGGGTGGTGCGGCTAAGCTGAGCTTAAGTAAACTCATCCTTTCATACGTAATGTCTACAGAGCAGGAAGGGAAGGCAGCAGAAGAGTCTACTTGAGACATGATGATGATACAATCAGGCCAACCTCTGCCAGCAGGAACTCCAAGGTGAGGAGCTGCAATTACCCGAGATGAGCAGACGGAGCCCATTTACCCCTCAAGGCAGTTGAGCCCCAGCAGCTCCTTCACTGGATGATGGGGTGGACTCAGCACACATGAAACAGCCAAAATTCACCAACACGTAAGCCTGTATACTCACACATTGACTTTGGCAACTGCACATGGAAACCCTAAAGCCCAGCACTTTAACCCTTATGCACTGTGAGCTTCCATTTACTGATGAGACATAACCCAACAGGTAGAGCCATCCTGCACAGAGACTCTGCACACCCAGCTCTCTCCTTCCCCACACTATGTCACACAGGCTCTAAACTTTTGGGGACCAAAGTCAAGAGCAAATTTCTTGCTCCAAAGTCAATGCCGCATCTCGTGATGTCAAGAGCACAGGGATTGTGCCCACTGCCTCCAGACCCTGCTGGCTTCACATGCAAGGAAGTTGCACAGTCTTTATTCCTGCCTGCATAAACTGCAATATAAATACAAAAGAGTAATAAATAATACAGAATACACGCCTGGCCTCCGGTTTGAAAGCCAATTCCCACGTCTTAGGTGCCTGCTTCTTAGCAGTAGCATTAATAAAATACCAGCAACTCAGCTGATTTCCTGACTGAGCAAACCAAACAGTGAGAGTCTGACAAACAGTTTTTAAAGGCTTTTATCTCAATAGGTGACTTTGCCCGAATGTTCTAGATTTCATTACCTCCTTTAAGAGGAACACCCTTCCCTCCCCAGTCTCACAAACACACTGCATCTTCAGACACACACAGTTATTTGTGTCCTTTAAAGCTAATTGCAATTACATAGTTCAGCTAAATAATAACCAATTCCACAGTGCTGCACAAAGGGAACAAGCAGGACAGCTTCACACAGCTTGGGAATTAGAGCATCAGTGGGTCTGCACAGCAATATTTCCAAGTTAGCAAAAAACAAGCAGTCACAAAAATGCCACGCTTCAGTAACACTTGCTTCATTATTTCTAGGCTAAAAAGCAAGCTTTAGACACTTCATAAGGAAACAGCATCTTTTTCATGGTTCCTGTTCATTTGTAAGCTACTGGTACCTAAAACAAACCCCAAGATTTCAAGGTCCCCCCTTTCTGTTTGGAAAGGATTCCACCAGAAGAGCCCATGCAGAGTCCGGCATCTCAAACCCCCGCGTGCCGCTCGGAGAAGGGAACATTCAAACAGCACCACGGTTGTCAATACATGGCAGAGGAATGCAGCACAGACAAAATCTTACTTACTTTGGAGGCCCACGGTTGCAGGCAGTTGGCGTAACATCGAACAAGAAAAGCCATTTCTTAGGCTCGGGAGGGGGAAAAAGTTTCTTTCCTCAAATAAAAGCCAAGGAAGGAAAATACTGAGCAAAATCCCTTCTGGATCCTCTGTAACAATCATAAACCAAAGCAGCAAACATACATGTATGCAACTTCTCAGGCTTGAATTTCACACTGAATTCAATTACAGCTTCCACTATAGCTGAGGAGTTTTCAGTATCGCAGTGAGTTAGCAGCAGCAGCAAGCCCTATGAAAATGTTCCAGTTCTAACAAGCACAGAAATTGAAATCAAAATGTTTCCTGGCTTTTCAAATACAAATAGCCATCCGTTCCCCCAGGCAAGAGGCATGCGCCCGAAAAGTGCTGCTAAAATGGAATTAATGCTGAAATGGATTAGAACTGCAGGTTAAAGCAACAATGCATCAAAAGGTGACACATGAATTCTTCAAATTCCCTTTTTTCTCTTCACTCAAATGAATTGACAAGTGGCTTATCTTCGGGTCCACTTTTCGGGAACTTCACATTCATATTGTAGCTGGAATCCTGCACGGGTTCTTCAGCATCTCAGGCGATCCGGGAATCCCACAGCCTGGATATTAAAGTTTCTTCTTTATACTCTTGTCCGTCATAAGTGCAAAAATTCGATTAGTGTCCAGATTGTAGCTCCAATATTTATGCTCTAACAGGTTTGCTCTGTGGAATGTATTAAAGCCTCTGCAATACAAACCCTTTTCTCTTCTGCCCCCCCCCCCCCCCCCTTGTTTTAATGCAGTTTACAACTCTGCAGTGTTGCTCAGTATTCTAATGCATCAGTCGGACCCCACGGTTAATCCACGCCTAGCTTTTCCAATTAAAACATCTCTGTAACGCACAACAAAATAGTACATCCATGGCTACAGCAAGCCTGACTGCTGGAGTCCTAATTCCTACTATCTTTGCTTGCTTCTCAGCAGCTCCCTCAGGAGAAGCTCCCATCGATTGGATGCTCCGCAGCAAGATGAAATATCTAATAAGGAGGAAAGAGAGTGGGAGGGGAACGGAGCTAAAAGGATGACATCACCTGTATAGAAAGCCTTTAGAAACTGCATTAGATCAATTGGCTACTGGAGCTGCAGATGCAGCCAACAGAGCATCTTTATTGACCTGATATAAACACACAGATCGGTACAGCAACTGCTCAGCAAACCCCCCCTGCATTGCATTTTATATCCTTTTATGATCTATTCATGCATATGTTGGAACTCTCAATATGTTTCTTTCTCTAAATCATTTTTTAAACGAACCACATGCATCTATTAACACTTTCCACAGTATTTACGTGGATTATTCCTCATCTCTGCCCCCAGATTTAGAAATGAGTACAATAAATACCTGCAGCCGTTCGCATGCATGCACACAGATACACCCAGCACCAGCTCACAACAAAACAATTCCTGCTTTCATGGATGTATGTCATACCACAGGCTCAAGGTTTTTATCTCATCCTATACACTCACGAGGAGATTTCTGTCTGGAATGAGAAGTAAATTCCTTATTGGAAGGTGGCATTTATAATTCTCATCATTTAATCTCTTTCTGAAGCCATGTTAAAAGTTTCGGTGGGTGGGTTGGGGTTTTTTTTCCCCTCAATTAAGACCAATTCTGTTTCTAACCAAAACTGCCTTAATTCTGCTGTAGTCAGTGGAGATTGATCCTTTCTCTTTGCTGCTAAAAGCTGCAATATTTGCAAGCAGCTCCGTGCCTTGGAAGGCAGCCCAGCCTGCTGGAGAGCTGCTCCCAGGAAGCACCTACGAGATCCCACACCTTGGAGCCGGGGCTGCCGCCGTGCTTTCCATTCCTAGAAGGCAAATGACTTCTGCTACCGTGCAAGGAGGGAGGAAAGCACGGAAGAGGGAGGGGACCAGGGGTGCTGGCTCTGTGAAAGCCATTATTTAGGACTCTGGATCATTTACTTCAGCTACAAGAAGGGCACTCACTGCTTCTGTATTCCTTTCTTTGGAAAGCATCTTCATCACCATGTATCTCATTATTCCCGGTCTGCATCAGACTTGAGGGTGATTCTCCAAGACAAAACTATGACTGATAGCCACAACCTCCTGTACAGAAGCTTCCAAAGTGAGCTAGGGGCTACTAGAACCAAAAATCCCTTTTTCCGATTACTGTGCCAAGGGATCCAACACATGGATGAAGATTCTCACATTTGTGATGCCAAGTTATACCAAGAGGACCCCCCCACCCCACCTCAAACCAACAGCTCCCTTCAGCAGTCATCCAGAAGTTGAATTCTTCCCAGCAGATAAGCCAAGTGATGCTGGGAGCTGCACCTGAACTAAGAAAATAGCCTTCCCCTTCCTAAAACTGTCTGAAAGGAAACAATAACTGGTATTAAATGTCTGAATTTACCTAACTTCTATCAGATAATGAAAATAGTAACACATGCATCATAAGTATTACTGGGTTTATTTTGTGTTTGAAGGAATATTTGAACTGCATTCCTCCATTTGCAAAATGTACAAAGGCAGAGTCTATTTTATTAAAAGCTAATTACTTAATTAATTAAAAGTAATTACTTCAGATCTCCAAAATGCACCACAGCAGCTATACAAATAGCTGTTTCTTTTCCTGTTCCTCCAATACTGAACAATAGGCTAGACACGTCAGCTTCACCTTGCAGTGACTGTACTGCATCCCTTCTCATAATTCACAAAACTGCATTCAGAAGCATCTTCAACATCAAACTGATCAACCTTCAGCAGCAATGAGCACTCAAGTACTTTCAGGCAGCGTTACCTGTGTTACAGTCATCACAATTGATAGCAAAGGGAAGAGAAATCCCACCCAGCTAAAGGAAACCTCTCCCTGCCTGCACGCCCACCGACAGCACACCTACTCCATCCCTGGCTAAGCGAGCACGCATCCGTCTCCCACCCGCGACTTAAACCCGCCGCAGTGGGCACGGGCTCCATCCCACCGGCAGGGACGCCGGGATTTCACAACGACGGTAAACACGGGCTCAATAATGGGAACAAAATCCCATTTCCTTCCAGTTTTGCCTTTAAGTGGAGATGACATCATCGCTCCGGCCGTCCCGCCAATGAGCGGCAACGGCAGCACCGCAGGTCCCGGGGGGCTGCGGCCGCCTCTGCCCCAGCCCCGAGCACCGGGAAAACCTGACCCAGTTCCACACCCCGGCTTCTGGGGCATCCCCCCACACACACACTCATTCCCGTTCCCTTTAGGGCTTGGGTTTTTAACACACGCATGGCTGCAGCCCCAGCTCCCTGCAGCACACGCTGTAAGTTGCTATACATCAGCTGGTTTTATACATCTCAAAACTGGAGCGACTGGGAGATGGAAAGAACAAATGATCCAGTACAAAGGCTGCTCCATAGCAATCACAATACTTGGGAAGAACTGCAGCATCGGGCGGAATCGCAGACAGTAAATCACCAGTCTTATTTCTAACACAGATTCCAAGTTTTCAGAGCATCTTAAGGAAAAAACCCTGCGGTCCACAGCCTCTGAATTAAAGGTGGTCTTTGTTTCTTCACAACGATTTCTTTCCATACCACTCCATACATCTCTACACATCATTCCCTTTATCCTCCCCTACTGCTATGTGAATCCTGCCGACTGTTGAATAAATCTGCATGTTCTAATCGCCTAACAAGAGCAAGTCACTGAAAAATGGGATGTTTTTAGAAGGGTAGAAAGGCCTTTCATAATTTAAACGCACGTTCAGCAGGATCAGAGCCTCATTTAAGGACACCACAAAGTGAAGTTCCGCAAAAGCAGAGCCCTCGCGGCTGACAGCAAGGGACCTGTCAAGCAGCACGACTTCTCCTGATCCATCAGGGAAAGAAAAGCCCATTGTGCCGTGCCGGCGGGAGGACAGCGCCGAGCTCAAAGCCATCGAGGCTGAAAAGGCAGAAGCCACCGGCGAGCCGAGGGGCCTGGGTCAGGGATGTCTGTCCCCCTGTCCCCCGTGACCGCTGGCACGCTGTCCCCTGCTGCTGCTGCAGCACCAGCTATGCGCTGGTACCTTCACTTCTCCATGCCCCCCATTTAGAGCACAGCAGCGAAGGTAGCATCCTGCCTCCAGGCGCACAATGGGAGCTGGGGAAGGAGCCCAGCTGCTTGGAAAGCAATCTGTCACTGCACACACACGGGCAAAGATGGGCCAGGCTAAAATAATTCATTCTAACACAGTTTTGTGAGTGGGAACTGCCAGCGTAATGCAGAAATATTTCAGCATTAAGGGCACCTGCATCGAGAGGTTATTTCAATGTGTGTGAGTGCTTGGAGTGTTTTGGGAAAGGCGGGTGGATGCAGGCAGAGCCAGCTGCAGCGTGAGCTGGATGCAGCCCTGGCTGTGCTGGCACGGCTCATTCCGTGTCACTGGCACGCTCCTCTGGCTGCTCCCCGCCATCTGACTTCAGCATCATGACGAATCACTGCACTTTTGCTGCAGGGTTTGCCCCTCATTAGGGCTTCTCAGGAATCCCTGTTGAAAGGGGAAAAGAAAAACAAAAGGAAAACATTCCAACTCTCCACCCTGTTCCTGACCCTTCTGGGAAGCAGAGGCAGGGAAAGCGGTGCCTGTTCCCCCTTCAGGGGGACATTCCATGGTGTGACCGCATCCTTACAAACATCACTTTCCACAGCAGCACTTACTAACAGGCTGGAGAAAAATCCTACCCAAAGATCTGTAAGACTCACAAGTAGTAGGAAAACACACTACATCCTAAGGGAGGGAGCGAGGGAGAGCGGGAGGGAGCGGGAGAGGGAGGGCAGAGACTGTCATCATCCCTGAAGTGATGTAAGCTTCTAAATATAGCACCAGCAATACAGAAGGAACAATAAAAAAGGCACCATGGATTCAATTTCTCCACCGCTTTCGCACTACCCCAACCCTCTTTTCTCAGCCACTGTGTTAAGCAGGGAAAGGTCACCTCCTATTTGCAGCGCTCCAGATTTATGTGGTTTTTATAATACTTCCTTAAATATGTTTATAAACTGCAGCTCTCTCCTGCAGATCTGCTGGTGCACACACGCTCTGCAGAGCAGGCCAGCAGCATGATCAGCATGGCAAACAGGGACCACGCCAACACGGGGGGAGAAAGGGAAGCCACGGACTCAAACAAGAAGTTCATGTCTACGGTTTGAAGTGAGATGAATCATTGCACGCTCCTCCCTTCCTTCCTGGCATCTCGTTTCGGCCAGGGGTGGGGATGTTTAGGAAGGTACACAACCCGAAATCCTTGGTGATGGGCAGGAGGGGACGCCAAACCCAGCAGGGTCGGTTTGTGGCATGGTACCCACCCAGAGATACCGAAAGGAAGAAATCTCTAATAGCCCACAGCACACCCTCCCAAACACACTCAATTCTGCCCACAAAACATTACCTCCATCTAGTCTCAGAAGTTCCAGCCCAAACCTAACATAGACCTGGCCTTAATTTCATCAGCTGCCACCTACGTGGTGACCAGTTGGAGTTTCACACTGGGAAACTGCAAACCCACCAACGTACCTGTTCATTTTCATGCCCCAAAATTCAATATGAAAGCCAAAACTAAACACCACTTCTTCCCTCATGTATAAAACCTGTGTCTCGAGTTAGAATGAGCAGATTAAGACTACTTAATGTGGAAGACCATTAAAGTAGAAGGTGTTCTACCCCATGCGAGGAGGTTGGAACTGGATGACCTTTAGGGTCCCTTCCAACCCAAACCAGTCTGGGATTCTACTTAGAACATACGGTACCAGCACACCTCTCAAGAAAAAAGCCTGTGATTAAATGACCTTGAGAATAACATTAACTCCACAGATGAGGTTAAAAATCATTAAAATGCCACTTCCAATATTTCTTCTGTCATTTTCCTCAAGGGCTAACACCAAACTGGAAGCCTGAAAGCAGGAAAGGGGGAGGAATCTGACTCCTGCCACATGTCTCTCTAAGCAAGGGTGGTTTTGAGCAGTGAACTCTCATTTATCAGTGGTCAGG